TGTCCTGCCTGGGCTTTCCAATGCTTGCTGAACATCCGCGCTGGGAGATGTTAAAAACATTCCCACCCCTTAATTCCATGACCTCATTTCCAAAATGGTCTGTCCCTTCCATGCCACTTTATTCTTCTCTGAATCAGTCCCATCTTTTTCACGGTCAAGGTTGCCCCACCTCCATTCAGACAAGTTTCTGATCAATCGCCATCATTCAGTCTCAGTGTTCCCCTGCTCCCACCACACTTCAAATTCATCTGGACCATCACGCCATGGAGCCCCTTCTTATTCCTTATGATTAGCCCCCTCTTGTTTTCATTTCCCTGTCTACCCAGCTTAGATTGTGTGGTTCATCAATTCAGTAAGTCATTCTGCAGTACCCCGAAGTCTGTGGCTTCTGTCTTGTTTTATTAAATATGGGCAAAAGCCCAAAGTGGAATATGCGCTATCCATGTCAATGCCCGAGCAGCTGAGTGTTACTGGATAAAATCAGAGAACAGGGCAGGCTGGTACCACTGTGCATTCATTATTGTTGGTTTCAACTGGGCCCCCAAGCACTGCAGAGCCATCTTACCAATGCTCTATGGTCAACTCATTCCCACTGGTGACAATCATTGTTTCAAACCTTCCTTACTCTTCTAACCCTCGATCTCACTATCACCTCCCTAACTTTGAACAGTCCTTGTCTTCTGCTTCACAGAAAACACAGAAGCTGTCATAAGGGAACTTCCTGCTATAAAGACTACCCATTTAGCTTCATTCACACCCAGACTTTCATACTTTCCCTGTCAAAAAAAAGTTCTCTTCCAGCCACCCCCAAATGTTACTGAAAGTCAGTACTTGTCCCTGAGGCCGAACAAAGAATGAGGACAAGTGGTTTGAAGAAAAGGAAAGAGAAGTTTATTAATTTGCTGGCAAACGATGTCAGACTCTCATCTTAAAGAACCATGTTCCCCCTTAAAGCAGAAATACAGGGTTTTTAAAGGGGTTTTTCAGCTTCGGGCTATTAGGTCTGGTGGAGGGTAAACAGGTGGCAAGGAGGTGGCTAAGGGTGGACAGCAGGCATTAAATTGTAGCCAGAAACCAAACTGCAGCTAGAAACTGTTCCCTGATGAGAACATACATAGTAAAAATTTCCTATGCACAGAAAGGGAAACTGCTATATAACCTACCCTGTTGTGTAACCTGTCATGTGATCTGTTATACAACACCAACCTGTCAATCACCCGCAAAGGTAGGAAACAGCAACCAATCCTGCCAGGGGAAAGGTGGGACAAACTAGTGGGCTTATAAAGGACAGCACGTGCTCAGCCTTCCGGATCTTTCTTCACTCATGGAGACTGACCCCGTTCCACTCTCTCTGGAACGTATTTTCCCTTTGTGTTGCTTCCTCTACTTTCCTTCTCTCTTTTATGTGATAAGCTGTTTGTATCAAGTTGCTGTGTTTGTGATCACTCTGTCATTGGCTGGACTTGGTATCAGTACTCGTTCTTGACACTGGGAACCTGGGGACCAGGGAACACCCACACAGACGAATCCAACAGGGCTATGGCTGTTTAACTGTAGCATCTCAAACATCTCCTGACCTCCGTCTGGATAGTTTCATTGAGCCATCTCCTGTGCCTTAAGATACTAGAAAACAGAACACTCCTCTGCCTCTATGATCACTGACCTCGGGCAGGAAAGCAGGTTTTAATTTCTTGAAAAGTGTGAGGGGTTTAAAGAGACAACTTGTAAAGCATATGCTCAGATTTACCCTTCCTGGGGTTCCTAGGAACGCTATTCTGTCAGTGACTCTCCCTCCAGTAGTTCCAGTCTTTTTCTTGGCTGGATTTCTGCCACCAGCATTTAAAGGTGCACAAATCTCTCCCACTTAAGAAAACCCAAAACCTTTTCAGCTCACCTTCCCCTCTAGCTCCTTCCCTCTTTCTCCTGTACGGATGAACCAGTGTATTTAACCCGTCTTTTTTACAGCTGGGTTGTTGCCGTTTTTTACCATTAAAGCAATGTTGCGATGAAAAGCTTGTCTATAATTTTGTATGCATATGTGTGTATGGGTAGGCTGGATTTCAAGAAATAATGTAACTGGCTCTATGAACAAATCTCAATGACCCCTGTGTTTTTTAATAATCGTCTCCCTTAACTACTTGGCCTTTTGAGCTGTTTCCCAGAAATGGTGGATCTTCTGCAAGACAAAGGAGCTGAGATTCTGAAGGCTCCTTGGCAGACATCCTAACAGCAAGATTCACCAGTCCCCATAATGTGCCCCCAACACGTGGCAAATAGCCTCTTGTTAGTTACAAGATGACCTGTCTCAACCCATGTGGCCTCTCCTTTAAAAGTCCATGATCTTCCTTTTTCTGAAAGATGGATTGAGGCAGCATCTTCCCTTCTCCCCGCAAGACTTGACGTCTTATTAAAAATTCCTTTCTTCCTTGGCATTTCTCGTTGTCTCAATAATTGGATTTTTGTGTGATGAGCAATTGGACCTAGGCCGAAAACTCCATGTGGTTGTGACGACAATAAGACTGCCACTGCAAAGAGCCAGTAACTATTGCAAAGAGCAAGTAATGTGACAGCTTTCCTCCGTAGGGAACTTCACCATTTCTCACTCCCACTAACATGAGAGTGTACAATTTCCCCACGGCCTTGCCAACAGAGTATATTAAACTTTGGGATTTTTGCCAATCTGATAGATGACAGATGATACCTTAATCTGCATTTCTCTTATTATGATGGAGATTAAGATCTTTACCCAGGTTTAAGGGACATTTGGGCTTTGTTTTTCTGTGAACTGTCTGTTCATGCCCATGGCCCATTTTTCTATTAGGCTGATGGTTCTTTTTCTTTTTAGAATCTGAGACCTCTTTATATAGCAGGGAGATTAGAATGGGCCAGATTTTCCCCAATACAGAACCACAGCGTTAACAGGGGCTTAACGAACTCATTCATGACACGCTCTAGTCCTCAGAAACAGGAGCCCCTTCTTCCTAATTAGGACAACTTTATTAATATTTTGTTTCTCATTTAAAGTAATACATGTTCATTACAGAAATATTGGAAGAAATTTAAAACCACCCACAGCACCACTTTCCTATGTTCCTCTTCTAAGCACATAAGGTGACAGGGAGCATCATCCCACGCCCTTCCCCAGGGCACCCAGCAGTGCTTTGTTGTGTCCCTCTTAGGCTGTTTTCCTCCCCCTCCCCCATTATCCCTATTTAAAATGTATTATCGTGGACTGTGTTTCAAATTCAAAAATATGGTCATATGTAGGGACTGAGATGTAGGCAAAGCTAGTATCCTTCGTGGCACTGCGGTGGTTTTAGGAACAGGACCTTCTGAGAGGACCTGAGATGCCCAGGAGCTCCGCTCGCCCTCTTTAGTGACTGCCACCACCTCAAAATGTCATTTGGTTCTGGTGCTTCCTCTTCCGCTCTTCCGAATTAAGCTCTTGGTTAAAAATATCTTAACTTCCAAAAAGAACAACAACAAAAAAACTTGAACACATTGGTAATTTTAAGTTTGAAAGTGTATTTTGAAATGAAAATGCAAAATAAATTTTTATAAAATGGTCACACAGGAACCACACAGGAAGACACCTCAAGATACATTCCATGCTGCACTTCCTTAGAAAAAGTTACAGGTCTACTCAAAACAAATAGCTGTCATTTATAAGCATGAATTCCTTTCTTTAAGCACAAAGAAAGCTCAGGTGAAATGCCAGACTGGGCCTCCAGGAGCGAGGCAGTGGGGGCCTGCACCTCCCCACGGGCCAGAGGAGGGCTCCGACTGGATGACTTCTAGAGGCCTGAGTGCCATGGTCCTCTTATGCCAGTGAACAACATAAAACATTATTACTATTTTCCTTTGATTATAAATTTTGATAGAAAAATAATTTAACGTGCTTAAAGATTTTACTATGAAGAGTATTATAATTTTTATTGTGACATACCACCTTCGAAAAAAATTTCCATTCCAGAAGTTTCTGATCTGGCTCACTTTCTTACTTGGCGGTTTGTGCCTTGGGGCATCCTCCACGCACACCAGTATGTATGATGAAACTAGCTGGTGGTCTTTCCCGAAGGTGCCTCCCACAGAGGAGGCTGTGCATGTCTCTGCTCAGGCTCCAACCACCTGCTAATTCCAGAGATCCTGGCTGACCGACTTACTGTTCTTTCCTCACATTCCATTTTTATTATGTAAGTTGTATTTTAGTATATTCTTACAGAATTTCTTCGTGTCATCCTGTTAATAATCAACAGTTTGAGGTTTTTAGATAGTAGCTCTTCAGATATTTTGCTGGTATGGGAAGCTCAACTGATGTGCACAGGAACAAATACTTATACGCTGGCAGATCAGCTGCATTTCAGCACCTTATGGTTGTAGCTCTTATAAATGCTTCATTTTACCCTTAAAAGCATCAACTTAGTTTGCTTGTACTTCCTCTCAAATAAAATATTTACTTTCTTTTTTTTATAACAAAGACATGCTTAGGACGAACATCACAAAACCATAACCTTAGATAAATGGTCTAAAACCACAGTTGATTCATCTTTGCACATCAATTCTAAACTAAAGGTTCGAGCCTTTGACCGTGCCCACGGGTCCCTAAGTTCTTCCACATAATCATTTTTATAGTTTGACGAAACGCACCTTCCTAAGTGGGAGGATGTCGTCAAAATTCCTCACTGCGATATTTCATGATTACTTAAAAATTCATAGCATAGCATTTTTTGCTAATTATGAAAGTTGTAAATTTATAATCATTTCCTTTCATAAGGACTGCACCATTACCCATTTTTACTTATTCCTTATTAAATTCAGCTTCAACTACCTGATTTTGAGTCTGAGGTAGCTTTGTATTGGTTCTACTACCATGGAAGTGGTATGTTTCAAAGTACCATCTGGAGCAATCGATTAGATTTAAATGAGAGCAGGAAATACAGTATCAGTTGTACTGTCTTCTCACTTGGAGTACAAACCACAAAAACCCAAACAACCATTTCTTTAGTGATAAAAATACAATTCTTTTGTGAGCATGGACACGATACATGGAATCTGTTTCTTTGCATGAAAAGTAGAGTCCAAGGAAAAGGACTCGAATTCTGTCGCCACCTTTCGGTTAACCCGGGTAAGAATGTGCATGAACTCAAGCTTGTGAGCGTACAGTTTCAGCATAGCACAAAGTGATTGGATGAACCAGGAGCCATCCTTTGAATTTCGCCAGGAATAGTAACCTAGAAGGCCAAATACAACCAAGATACCATGAATATCTCATTTTAGTTGGTTCTATAGATTATTATATAATCAGAAAGGTAAAAATAAGCATAAACTTCCATAGGTTTTATTAGCCAAAAGAACAGAAAATTACACCTTTGGTTCTGGAGAGATGATGCTGTAGGGAAGAAAATGTGTGGTATGCATACACCTCTGCTTTCAGCAGAAAAAGAGAATCGTGGACGGACACCACCACTAAACTACTGAAAGTCTTACTCTCTGGGCTCCCCTTCCAATGGCAAGAATGGTCAACATGCAGAAGATAAGAAGATGCAAAAACAAACATAAATAGGAAGGACCATTATGAGTTGCATGGTGTTTCAATCAGATGCCATCTTATTTTAATACTGATTTAGCCAAGAAATAAATTGCTTTGAGTGTCCTGTCTACAGGGCATCTGAATGAAGTATAACAAACACATTGCAGGGTATTCAAAAAGTCCCGAAGAGAAAATAGCATATTTATTGTACTTTTTTTCAGATTAACTATTAGATTCATTGCTTTTAACTTAGTAGTACTTCGCCCACGAAGATGACTAGAGAATAATTTAAACCAGATTGGGCATATTTAAAAATATTAACACTGTTTAAAAATACATTTAACTTTAAGCTTCTAAACTCTCCGACATTCTGAGTTAGCTGTATAAGTAAATAGCTGTATGATCAACAAATATTTATTTTTAAGATGGTATGCAACACAACTGCAAAAAAGTAGAGGTTAATGGCATATTCATATGTCATTTTTAACTTCTATTCTCTCTTACATTAGTCACGTCTTTATGCTTTTTATTTCCTATCTTCCAAAGAATTCCTGAAAAACACACCTCTCTTCTACTCTGTGGCCATATAGTATACTATCTGGTATTAAGTCCATGGATGACATTGTGTTAGTCTACTCTTATATATGCATATTTTTTAGCCAAACTTATGGCTAATGACAACTTTTTGAGATTCCTCTGTGATTAAGGTACTCTAAAATACAGACAAGTTAGCTATTCTTTACAGATATCAAAATCTTGACAGTCTCTGGAACATACTCATGATCATTTAATTCTACAATTAGTCACACTGTAATTCATTTAAAATCTACAGGTAACAGTATGTGTAACTATCTTACCAGGTGCTGTGGAGTACGCATACAAGAAGTCAGCCTCAACTGGTATTTTCTGACACGCCATGTCATCATCGATACTGCTATCTGTCTCAATGCCACAGTCCAGTTCAGTACCTCGGCAGGCCTGGACATTATAAAATAAAGATTTATTTTTAAAAATATGTGTATGCAACACACATAATTTATTTCTAAGACATGGGAGGGCTGTGTAAAAATGGATGTTAATTATGCTGAGTCTTTTCAATATAAGTCTAAAATTAAAATTTACTCCATATCTAAGTGGTGGTTTAAATGAATAAAAAAGTAACAACGGTTCATTAGCCTCAGGAAGAAAAGTAAATCCTTTGGGTTATTTACAACAAAGTATATTACTCCCTGATTAATCCTCAAATAACCAAATTGCTCAATTACACATTACCTGAATAATGAAAAGTTTGGGTTTTCCAGTTAGACTTCTACAATAATCCCCTCTGAAGAAACTTGTTATTTTTTTCAGATCAACAGGTCCATTTGTCCCAAAAATTATTCCTTCTTCACCATGGCTTAGAAGCACACAAACAAAACTGCTCCTTTTGCTATGATCTTCTTTAGAAACTGGAAAGATATTTACAAATAAGAAGAAACCCAACTTTATTTAACGAGTTCAGATACACTGTATGGGAATAATATGAAGAAACTGAGAACAGATCATCTAGACCCAACCTGGGGCAAAGCCACACACCTCAAACCATTTTAAGGAGCTGGCATAAACAACTTTTTTTTACTTCTTACTAAAATATGTAAGATTAGGATTGTGTACAGTATAATTCCATAATTCTCACACTTCATTATATGTACAAATACAGCTAGATCATAACATAAAATCAGACAATGAAAGTCGATGGTAATTATTTCTTACCATTGCGCATCAATTCCACAATTTCTTCACGTGTAAGATCGTTCTTATTTCTGACTTCGTATTTCAAGTTCATGAATGTTTCCCTGAGGTTTGCTGCATCTACATCTGTACCTGACCGAGATGACATTCCTTGAAACAGAAAGAATTACTTTTAATTGCACTTCAACAGAAGAAAAACTTCTTTGAAACGAAATCAACTATTAGGCAATTCACAAAATCCACAACAAATTCTTTCCTTTAAATGCCCAGGAAAGTCTAATTGTTTTGATCATGAGAACACAAAATCTCTTTAGTTTCTTAGCTTATGAGACATTTCATAATATAAGCTGTATCAGTGTCACAGCCACGAGGCGATCTTGCACAGCTGCTTAGACAGTGAAAAACAGAAACTTATATGCCTAACAGGGGTCTGAATAAATTATGATTTATTTATATAATGGGATACTATGTTGTCATTTTTGTAGATAAAATTTTGCCAACAAATGGTCATCGTTTTACAAAAAACAGAAAACAACATGATCCTGTTGTTAAGAAAAAATTATATATGCAATATATACCCACATCTCACACACTCAGAGGAAAGGCATTTCTTTGATTCTAACTTCCTAACGATTTTAAGATAGTATTACTATTTTCATATTATCTTTCCAGGGAAAAAATCCAAACGTTAATACTGTTCATCAGGCATCCTGCTATGGGTAATCTCCTTTAAATCCTTCCAACCACCACGAGACAGTTATCACCGCCGGCTTCTTTTGTACAGATGTGAGACATGACAACCAGTCCACAGTAACAAAGCCGGTGTTGGGGCTGTACCCAGGGCTCCTGGGCTTCCTACCAATCCTCTACAGCACCTTTCACATTAATGTACAGGGTGACTGTACGATGTGCTAGATTTCAAAATGCCAAAATGTTGGTGCGAAACACACCACAGAATTGAGTAAATTCGATACGTGTGAAGGCTGTGTACAAAAAGTCTAAATATATCTCCAAAATATTACTTATCTCTGGGTGGTGTGATTATGAGAGATTTTCATTTTTCTCTTTTTGCCTATTTGTAATTTCTATTAAGGGCATACATTGTTTTTATCAAATTAAAATGAGATCATCAAGGTTTTGTCATTGGAAAGGCTGAGGACACCACGCGGCTGTGACGAGGTTTGTGGGCTGCACAGAACAGAAAACACTGGGCTGCCCGAGATGCTGCGGGAACCTGGCCTTCAAGCTTCAAGCGAGGAAAGGAGCTACTGCAGGTAACATCCAGACTACCAGTCTAAATATTTGGGGGGCAGGTGCTGATGGAATGACATGCTTTTTCTTTTTCTTTTTAAAATAAAAATAGGTTCGACAGTGCAAAATTCTATAGGAAGAGGGCATCACAACCGGCAATGTGAGGCGGAATATCTATAAGTAAAATTAGAAAATTCATAAAGCAAAAATAAACAAGGTTTTTTAAATTTAATGCTTGAAGGTGGTATCTCAACTTACAGTCAAAAGAGATAAAAATGGTGCCATTGAGAGACCCATTTTCAACGATTCTCTCCTCACTCCTTGTAACTAACCTAACACTAAATTCTGCTTGTCTTCTCGGTGTAATCTGGCTTTCTTCCATCGTCACACCATTCTGGCAGGGAGTGCCCTAAATTAGATCTACTTGCATCTAGTTTCTCTAATTAAAAATTAATTCTGATATGAGTAATATGCCAATTCAAAGAATTATCACAGCATCAACTTAAAAATGAAAAACAGGGAAACAGTTAAAATGTCCATTCAAATGGTAAATTATGCAAACTAAATGAATAGTATTTATATTTAGGGCTTGCAGTATTATATAACCATTATAATAACAGATATGAAAATTATACAGCTACATGAAAAAATGCCATAAGTGGAACGAACAGGATACAATATTGCTTCCATGTTACAAATAAAATCAAGCTTTAAAAAAAACTGTCAAGAAAAAGTATCAAGTAATACACCAAAATGTTAATTAGCTTTCTGGGGACTGTGAAGGATTTTATCTTCTATATTTTCTAAAAAATCTCTAAAATACAGTATTAGATTCACACTGTACACAGTACAGAGGCTGAAAAGGGGATCTGACAGTCAGGCCACGGTGAATTTGGGGAGTAGTTTTGGTGGTAGAGACAGAAAACAGAGAAGGACAGATTCAAGAGAGAACGGGGAGGCTGGGCATGGTGGCTCACGCCTGTAATCCTAGCACTCTGGGAGGCCGAGGCTGGCGGATTGTTTGAGCTCAGGAGTTCAAGACCAGCCTGAGCAAGAGCGAGACCCCGTCTCTACTAAAAATAGAAAGAAATCAGCTGGACAACTAAAAATATATAGAAAAAATTAGCCAGGCATGGTGGCACATGCCTGTAGTCCCAGCTACTCGGGAGGCTGAGGCAGAAGGATTGCTTGAGCCCAGGAGTTTGAGGTTGCTGTGAGCTAGGCTGTGTCTCAAAAAAAAAAAAAAAAAAAAAAAAGAGGGAATGGGGAAAAGGGAAAACGGCCAGCTTAAACTACATGTATTCAAAATTGAGGAAGGAAAGAGAGAAATAGCAGAGGAATTGGGTAGAAGCAGGGTAAGAGACAGGTCTCTTTGAGATGAGGAGTCCCTGTCAGCTTTGCAGGGTAAGAGGAAAAAGGCGACGGAGACATGAAGATAAAGGAAGCAAAGCAGAGCAGAAGGTGGAATAAGAGACCAAGCTTTGAAGTCAGGCAGAACAACGCTCCGATCCCAGCTCTGCAGCTACACTGCCTGCACAAGGTTTTTAGCCTCTCGGAGTCTAACAGGAGTTACTTTCCCGGCTGTTGTAAAAATGAAATGAGACAGTATCTGTGATTGTGATGTGCCTCGCAGTCCTACCACTTACTATCTGGTGAGAACCTTCCACTGGGATAAAAGAGGGGGCAGGAGGGTAAAGCAGCAGGGGTTACAGAGAAGCAGGGCAGAGGAGGCCCAGCACAGGGACAGGAGGCCAGCTGCTGGGAGGAGGAGACTGAACTGGGTAGAGGAGCTTAGAGTTCGCGTGGTATTGTAGGACCCATGGAGTCCTGCCCTATGTCTGCCTCAGGCTGCTCTGTGTCCTGGCTTACTGTCTAATCACACATCAATACTGCTTTTTATATTATATCAAATGTATTAATACATGGCAAAAATATTTGAAAAGGATCAAAAATTATGTAAGATACATACCAGTGCTTTTATGAAAGTTCTTATTATTAATTATTATACATAAACCCATTTCAGGATAATCCATTTTGTAGCTGTTATCCAAGGACATTCCGGAGTCCATTGATTTGCTTCCATGGATGATCTTACTGTTTGGAAATCAAATAATAGTGCACAAAGGCAGAAATGACCAACCCTTCCGTTTACATTAATACAACGTCTATAACTCACAAGAACAGTTGACATTTGTTAAGTGTTATGTACTTTGTGCTACAAGCCTTTCCTCATTTAAATTTCACAGCAACACATTTTACAGATGAGGAAGTGGCCTGCCATGAGGCTAGTAATATGCTGAAGGTTATGCAGATATCGTGTTGGAGCCCAGGAGGAAGGCAAGCATCTGGTGGATTTCACAGTTCAGCCTTTTAATGTCTACGTTTTATGTTTTCTTCTAAATTTTAGTAAAATTTCATCAAGTATCTTTTACAATTTAAAAATTTCTTATAACTTTGTGAAATATTTTATTCTTTGAGGTAAGAATAAAATCTAAAAAATTATCCTGAAATGACAGGAAATCAACAAAATGCAAATATAAAAAGTCACTTATCCTAAAACCTCTACTATCTAGACCAGGGATCAGTAAACTTTTTCTTTAAGGCCCAAATATTAAATATTTTAGGCTTGCACATCACCCTGTCTCTGTTGCAGCTACTCAATTCAGCTGTTGAAACTAGCCCAGGACAATATGTAAACGAACAGGTGTGGCCGTATTCTAACGAAACTTGACAAGAACAAACCACAAGCCTGACCTCTGATCTAGACCAAGAATCAGGAAAAAATATGTCTAGGAACAGCCAAACACTGATACTTAAAGTTCATGTACTAATGCACTTAACTTTAGAATATTTCACATTATACACAATTCCAAAAATATTGCTGGAAGAAGATTAAAAGTAGTATACTAAAGGAGTCAAGGTCAGCAAAGAGCTATTACATTTAGTTAGAGGTGAAGAATCCCAACTTTTACAGAGAAATCCAAAACCTTGAAAGTTGAGTGACTTGATCTTCTGGTCATACAGATAAACTCTCTAAAATGGGACTGCATTTCAAAAGTTTAATGTTTAGAAAAACTGCTTTGCTAAACATTATGAAATCTTTATTGGTAACTTTTTAATAATATTGCTGTAATACTCTTGCTTAGTAATAAAATTAGTTTGTAATTCTCAGGGCAGTCCAGAATAATGTTACTGGGTCTTAGAAACAGACTTCTAGAATTAAAAGTATCACAAGAGATCCCAAATGAATAATAACAGACAGGAATTAAATGAAGAGTGTTTGAATTTTATCTTCTTCCTTTCCCCATCTGCTAGTCATTAGAAGCATTAATAAGCAGAATATTCCAAAAAGGAAGATAAGAAAAAAACAACAGGTAAAAGATAACCCATAGCCAGTCAATTCTTCTCTAGACTGAAAATTGCCATTACACGTTAGTCTTAAAACCTCATAAACAGGATCCTGCAGTATGGGCTTTATAATTTAAAAAAAAAAACAAAACAAAAACCCATAAACTGGAGGTCAAAAAACTAAAATACTGAACCCGAACAAAAAACCTCTAAACCTACAGTGATGTGGGAAGGTACAGAGCACCAGACTTGTGAGTTCCGCCTCTGTGGCATTCCTCTGGTTCCAGGACGAGGTTTCCAACTGTGGGTCTTTCCCTTCATCCTCCCCATTTTAAAAATGAGGTTGAGAGAGGATAAGTTCATCTAAGTAAAGCTACGCAATTGTCTGAGGCAGGAAGTCCGCTTGGTCTCCCTTGCTGGAGAGCCCGTATCCTTTTTGCTTTCCCATTCCTCAAAGCTTGCTATACTTCACACGCCCACTTTTCTCTGACTATACAGGATTCTATTTAAATACTCACGTTTCCGAATTTTTAATAGATTTTGAATCCACTGAGTTTTCAGTATTCTCCATGGATACTTTTATTAACTAGAATATAAATAAAATGGAAGTTAATAAAAAAAAATCAGTCGTAAAACCACTGCATTATATTAATTATCCCACGGATTATATCTCCAAATTAATAACCCAGTTTCACCTCTACTATTAAAGATTTCTTTGAGTCAGATCTGGGGAAAAGGATCCTTTGCAATAGCACATACAATGTAGCTAGAATCTCTAATAGAGCTATAAATTACCTATATTGAATTACGTAAAGTACACAGATGGGAAATGTGTAGCTTCATGAATTTTTATATTTGTATGCCCTCACTGGATCAAGATAGATTCCCAAGAGATACAGTACCAAAAATCCCAAACTTCCATATAATCTTTACTCTTAAACTGGGTTTTGGAATCCCAACTGTCATTTAGGGTAGTGGAATGACCTAGTAAACCTAGAAGTAAAAACCACAGTTTCTGCTTTCATTCTTCTATCAAACAATCATATCTTACACAGTGCACCAATCCTTATAAGCAAAGCAACTACCACTCATTGGGCACTTAATATATACTAAGTACTTTGCTAGGCTCTCATCTGTAACCTTCCCAGTAATTCTAAAAGTCAGGAAACCCAGATTCTAGTGGTTAAGTGACTTTGTCAGCAGTCACAAGCTAAGCGATGAGCTCCTTCTCCCCCCACTCTGCTATACAGCCTCCAAAGAAGCCAGCTCCTTCTACCTGGCTTCTGGAGTTCTGCCAGGTATTCTCTGGCTTTCCAGAAGCAAAGGTATTTCCCATGGTAATCCACGTGCCTAAATAAAGAAGATAGAAAAACAAGAACAAACACAAAACAAAAAACAAGAATAAAAAAATCTTTTTTTTGGGTAGGAACCGGGTATCGCTATGTTGCCCAGGCTGGTCTCAAACTCCTGGCCTCAGAATGCTGGCAGGTGTGAGCCACTGCGCCCAGCCTTAATTTTAATTTTTAAAATTGTGGTAAAACATACATAAAATTTACCATTTTAACCATTTTTTAAAGTGTACAGTATAGTGGCATTGAGTACGGTCACACTGTTGTGATCCATCCCCGGAATTTTTTATCTTCCTAAACTGACACTCGATTCCAAGGGCCCCCTTTTCAAAGTCTCTTGGAAAACATAATCTCTCCCTTTCTCAAAGCTAGGTTCCTTCCTCCCTTCTCCCCCAGTGTTGAGTGCAGCTATGACAGGGAAAGAAAACGGAGAAGAGTTAAGTGTCACCATTTCAATTTAATCAAAGAGGGGAGTATTATACTTTCTCCTACACCCCATCATGTTTTGCATTTCTATAAAAAGCTCCCTGCTTTTCTACCATCCTACTTCCTGTAGGCTTTCAGAAAACCAAGGGAGGATGTGAGCACAGTTGGGATGAATCATCTTTTAGTTAGTAAGCAAATATTTACACACTTTGTGCAGGTACCATTCTAGGCACCAGGACAGAGTGGAAGACAAGACAAAGTTCCTACCTTAAGAAAGTGTTCACTCTAGAGAGGAGAATAATTTCACAGTAGTCCTCGCTTATCAGGAGGTATAGAATCCAGGATCCCCAGTGGATGCCTGAAACCTCAGATAGTACTGAACCCTATGCGAACCCTGTATATACTATGTTTCTCCTTATACATACATAACTGTGAAAAAGTTTAATTTACAAATTAGGCACAAAGACATTAACAACAATAAAGGTTACTTGAACATAAGCATTGGGATGCTTCCACAGTTGATTTGATAACCAAGATGGCTACTAAGTGACTGACAGGCAGGCAGAGTGCACAGTGTGAAGATGCTGGCCAAGGGGATGATTCGTGTCCCTGGTGCGATGGAGCGCAATGCGCATGAAGCTACTCAGAATGTTGTGTAATTTAAAGCTTATGAATTCTTCATTTCTAGAATTTTCCATTTAATATTTTTGGACCACAGTTGACCGTGGGTAACTGAAACCGAGGAAAGTGAAACTGTGGATGGGGGTACGGACTACTGTAGATTAACAGTAAGATTTCAGATGCTGGCAGGGGCTACAAAGAAAATAAAATAGGGTAAAGTAATAAACTGGGAGTGTGGGCTGCTTTAGCTAAAGTGGTCAGGGAAGTCATCGCCGAGGTGACATTTACACTGAGATCTCAATGACACAGAGGCTGCCACCTGAGGCTGACCTTGCGGGGAAGGACTAGCAAGGACAAAGGCCCTGGAAGAGCTTGGTGTACTCACGAAGAGAAAGCAGCCCAGTTCCGCTAGTGCAGGGTGAAAGAAGGGAAGCAGTGAAAGGAGACGACACAGGAAGGGCAAGGCCAAATAAGGTCTTGGGAGATGAGAGGAACTTTGATTCTGTTCTAACTGCAAGGAGAACCATGGCACATTTTAAGCAGAAGAGGGAGAGCATGCTTTGGAAAGACTACTCTGGCTGCCGAGTGCAGAATCAACTGTAGGAGGCCAGAATGGAAGCACACAGGCTAATGAGAAGCTTTTTGGAATAGTCCAGACAGAGATGATAGCTTGAACTACAGTGGATGTAGGGAGTCTGGAACTCGGTAAAGATCGGGCTGGAGATACACTGGGGGCTCCCTGGTATTTAGGTCTGTTACAGGAATCAAAGCCAGGAAGAGACTAAAGAGAAGTGGGTGAAACAGGAGAAAGCAGGTAAATGCAGAAGTCTCTCCAAGGAGAGCGAGTCCAAGCTTCTAAAATCTTGCTAAGAGGCCAATTTAGATAAGGAAAGAAAATCACAGGCTTTGTCAAGAACATCACTGGTATAGGGGGGACTATCAGGAGTAATTGTCCAAGACTTGGAAATGGGCAAAAAAAATTACAGTGTGCACAGCAGGCATTATCTAGAACACTGGTCCTCAACCTTTTTGGCACCAGGGGCCATTTTTGTGGAAGACAATTTTTCCACGGATGCACATTAATTACATTTATTGTGTATTTTATATCTATTATTATTACACTGTAATATATAATGAAATAATTATACAGGCTGGGTACAGTGGCTCACGCCTGTAATCCTAGCACTCTCGGAGGCTGAGGCGGGAGGATAGCTTGAGGTCAGAAGTTCAAGACCAGCCTGAGCAAGAGCGAGATCCTGTCTCTACTAAAAATAGAAAAATTAGCCAGGTGTGGTGGCTCACGCCTATAACCCCAGCACTTTGGGAGGCTAGAGCAGGAGAAACACTTGAGGACAGGAGTTTGAGACCAGCCTGGGCAGCATAGCAAGACTCTATCTCTACAAAAAATAAAAATATTAGCTAGGTGTGGTGGCATGCATCTGTGGTCCTAGCTACTGGGGAGGCTGAGGCAGGAGGATAGCTTGAGCCTAGGAGTTCCAGGCTGCAGTGAGCTATGACCATGCCACTGCACTCCAGCCTGGGAGACAGAACAAGACCCTGCCTGTAAAAAAATAAAAAGAAAAGGGCCGAAGAAAGCAGAAACAGAGAAAAAGCACACTGGTCGTTTCAATGTTACTTCCTTTATAAAGGTTAAGGCAGAGGGGATTTCCTTATCATACTAGCTAAAACTGGCCTGTTTGGGGATTATCTTTGTCTACTGATTTCTTGGAAAATCAGATAAACAACTTGGTTTCAGATTGGTGGTGTGGAACTTCAGCACAAGCAGCTCCCTTTTCATTTAGTCTATTGGGCCTAGTGCAGGAACTCGGCCCAAACCAACAGTCTTCCGTGATTTTTTTTTTTTTTGAAGGCAGAGTCTTACTCTGTTGCCCAGGCTGGAGTACAGTGCTGTGATCATAGCTCATTGCAATTTCAAACTCCTGGGCTCAATCAATCCTTCCACCTCAGCCTCCCAAGCCCAGTTAACATTTCTTATTTTTTGTAGAGATGAGGTCTTGCTATGTTGCCCAGGCTGGTCTTGAATTCCTGGACTCAAGTAATCCTCCCTCCATGGCCTCCCAAAGTTCTGGGATTACAGGCGTGAGCCACCACTCCTGGAGCTCCTGTAAATTTGATTCAATAAAGGAGACAAGGGGTAGAGGAGGTTTCTTGTTTTGTTTGTTTGTCCATGTTAAGGCATGCTTTTATGCTGATGAGAAAGTGAGAAATTAACAAGGCAGGAGTAGAGAGTAAAGTTCCTGAAGGGATGGAAAGGCTTGGGCATCCAGCTTACATATGAAGAGGAACTCACCTCAGATGAGGACAGGGACAGCCCACCCACTGGAATGGGAAAGAAAACAAGGTATTTTGACATAACACAGGAAGCCTGATGAATTTGATAGAAAGGAGAATGAGGTACATCTCATATGATTGCACCTATTTTCCCTGTATTTTAGAAGACAAACTATGAGACAAGAATCCCAAAATGTCCTCATTCTATAGTCTCATGTGCACTCACTCATCTACTTTACCACGTAATACCAAAAACTAATCCTGCACAATGCCAGCCGAAGTGTGTGAGACAGGCATTCTCACGCGCTACTGAAATGAATACGAACTGGTAAGATCTCTTGAGACTCTCTTGACAACATGTCCTCTTACTCCCTAATAAAAACCTTAAATTCCGATTTGGTAAAATTACACTACTAAGAATGCATCCTAAGAAAATAACCCCAGGGGCTGGGGGTAGTAAGGAAAGGGAAGAATATACATTATTCATCCAAAAATTGAGAATCTGAGAACAGAGAAATAGTTATTATATGTCCATACAATGACTAATATAGACACAAATTTTTTTTGAAGAACTTACCAAGGACATAGGAAATGCTCACAATATAAGGCTAAGTGAAATCAGTCTATGAAAAAGTATCATCTCAGGCTGGGTGTGATGGCTCACACCTGTGATCCCAGCACTCTGGGAGGCCGAGACCAGCCTGAGCAAGAGTGAGTCCCCGTCTCTACTAAAAATAGAAAAATCAGCTGGGCATGGTGGTGCGTACCTATAGTCCCAGCTATTCGGGAGGCTGAGGCAGGAGGATCGCTTGAGCCCAGGAATTTCAGGTTGCAGTGAGCTATGATGACGCACGCCACTGCACTCTAGCCAGGGTGACAGAGTGAGAGTCTGTCAAATAAAAAAAAAAAAAAGCATCATCTCAATGAAAATATACACAAGACCAAAAGTACTTACACAACCTCTTTACATATTAACATATTTATTAACAGTGGCTGTCTCTTGGTGATGATTACTGGCAATTTATTTATCCCTTAATATTCTTCTATATCTTCTAACTTTTCTGTAACATTTGCATTGCTTTTAAAGTTAAAAATAGCAACAAATATTATTTTATAAAATAATATCAACAAAGGCAGACTGCATCGACCAGGTTTGTGCTAGGCAATTTGAACTCTCAGCTCAGTTTCAAGAGTGACAAAAGTAGGGGTATTCTCCTGCTATCAAAGTATAATAGTAACCCTTCCTTGTCTACATCATGCTCTGTACTGTGTTCCAGTCTATCTGCCTTTCTCTTGTTCTTTCATATATATATAATAAACATGTCTTAGGTACAAGGAAATCTCAAACTTTCTTGAACCATAATTACTATGGAGCCCAACTTGTCCTTATGCGTGTCAATTCCAGTGAGCAGACCACAAGACAAAATAATTATCCATCTGTGGTTGAGGAACAGGTGTGGTTAACTTGGTTAACTGAGAGAACACCACAGGGTGGCTAACAAGTCTGGAAACATAGGCAAATACATAACAAATGGTTTATTGATACTGCATTACAACCCATGAGAAAGTATCTTTGTTTCAAGACTTTATGGCTAAACTATAGAAAATGGA